TAATCCTCAAGTGACCTTCCTTCATCCAGCAGCATGGTAGTTTAGTTTAGGTGGGTACAGCAAGTTGACTACCAATTGATAATCCACCACATCCAGTAAAGACTTGTGAGACAGCAGGATGTTGATCAGATGTTTTAGGAAGTTATGCAGTTGAGAAAAGAAATGTCACTGTCAAATCTGAGAACGCCAGTACCCTGCAAGGGCCCATGCACAACCTTCATAAGCTACTGGAAAATGGCTTGAATGTTTATGGCTACTCAATATCTATTTCCAAGACTTTCACTTTTGCACATTACACTAACAAGTATTGGGTTTCCTTTCAACTGACCTATGCTGTTTGTTTAGTCAGACACGCTGTAAAATTACAAGCGTAACAGCGATCATAGCTTGTAAATGTAAAACTAATACATATGTACATACATGTTAAGGGAAAAAAATCAAGGGCAACCTACATAAAAACTATCAATGTAACCACACTCCACATATCAACTGAAAATTCATACTTTCACTAGGGAATATTACAATTTTGATTTGTTAAGTAACTTCAGAGATCTGGGGAGATAGCTGAGAAGCATAAGTGCCTGCCTGGCAAGCACAAGTTCCTGAGTTCAATCCCCAGTACAAAAAAAAGTAACCTCTGAGAGTTTGATGTACACATTGCAAAACATTTATCATTAATGAATCAGTTAAGATCCTGTACACATAGCATTATATTTGATTTTTATAACTATATGATTCAGACACTGACATATTCATTCTCTAAACAAAAAGACCTGAGCAATAGACACATTCAGTGACTGTCTAAATTGCCAAGCTGGTTGGGGTAGGGGAGAGACTTGAACATGGGTAGTCTGGGTGTGAAGACAATCACCCAAGTTCTATGCTGCACAAAAGATAGCAATGTGTGTTTCAAATAATGTAGACCTATTTTTGTTTTGTATTTCATAACCTGTCATTTCATTTGATGCTGCTTTGATTGGATTGCATAACTTTAGTTGTAACATGTTTCTGTTTTTGAGTAAAGATTTATTTTATTGGATATGATTAAACACACACAAAGCTTTTGACATTCTAATAAAACATGGGAACTATAGCCATATTCTACAGGAAATTGTCCTTTGTCTAAGTTGGACTTAGTGAATACAATACCAAATCATTATTTAGTTTGGCTACATATATATTAATTTGTGATCTTCTCCAAAACAAAATTATGGTTGTCTCTATCCTATAAATTACTGAATATAAATGTATTCCAAAAGTATAAAATGATGGATACTAATAGGTCCTTAAAGAATATAGGATAAAAAATTACTACATTAGGTTATAAAGTTATATTTGCTAATACCTAGGTTAAGTGAAATTATTAGAAAGTAAGACACATGACATTTAAATACAAGAGTTATATATAAATGCAACCTGGGGAGCATGAACTCTTGTGGATTGTACATTGAAGAAATTGAAAGAAAGATGAAAAATTGCCATTAGTTTGGCACTAACATCAGAAATGCATTCAGTTATAGGACATACCAAAAGATACATTTGATCATCACAGTTTTTGCCCAATGCTCATAATGTCATCTTTTCCAACATGTGTTGCTTATCTAAGTTTAGAGCAACCTCACCATAGTCATCACACCAGAGGTGTTCCTGTGTAGACACAATTAAGTGTACATAAGTGTACAATTACAAAACAATGTTTTTAACTACAAAATGCATTGAGATCATGCTTTCTGTATAGAAGTGGGTGATTCTTATATGTCTGTCTTAATTTTTATTATGGCTATGAAGGTATTATAAATGCACCTATTTAATAATACTGAAACTTTAACCTATGAGTTGTGTAATCTGAACTCAGATTGATTTCACTATTACAACTTTAAACACTCTTTTTCATTTTATTTTAGTTTACTAGTACATGTAATACATAATATTTCCATTCCTTGTGGAAATTCAGTACATGTAGAGACACAACTTACTTTTTCCTTTCCTTTCCCTTTCACCCCTCCTCCTTCACCCATCTCTTGTTCCCTTTACTTTTCCCTCTTTGATTTTCCTATCAGTGGAATCGTTCTGCAACAATTATATCACTAAGGATGGTGTTAAACTACATGAGAAGGCATCAGTGAATGGCATAAATTCAGTCTCAGGCAATAGCTAAGAAATAGGGCTGCAAGGTCAGCCAACATTTTAGCCCTAGTCTTCAAGGTCAGTGAAGACTCAGGATATAGGAGAACCTGTACTGTAACATCATGTAACTCAGTTGAGTCCCAAATTTTCTGATCAAGGAGATTATGGAGCCGTAGAGGACTGTGAACGATGATGTATAGTGTGCCTACAGAGAGCCACATGGAGAGAAAACTTTCTCTCAGGCTTTCACAGAAAGCAAATTGGTCAAGCAATGGCCGTGACTCATCCACATGGCTGACACTCACAAAGGATCTACAAAGTGCTGTACAGGGTTACAGGATAAATCCTGAGGGGATTTGACTGACCTTATCAGATACAAAAGTTACATTTCTTGTTATATAGGTCTTGCTTTATCTTGGTCTTAACCATCCAGCAGAAAAGTATAAAAATGAGGTATATAAAGTAAAGCCACATTAATATGCTGAGCTGTAAAAGGCTCTAGTCAACAACTTCAGCAGATAACCCACTACTATTGTGGAGTGCTGGACTGTGTTGGATTGTTTTGCTGAATTCATGCACTTATAGTACTTAGATGCCAATAAAATACGCATCTCTGACAGGACTAAACAGAAAAAGGGGATACAAAGGAAGGACCAATTTGTATTTGTATATGTAGAATAGTTAAGATAGATATACAGCTATTTTTGCTTAATTCAATGAGAAGAAAGATTTGTACTAATAGTGGTTGGACAGAATATCCTGTCTGCATCTTGTACTATGGATAACCACTAAGATAACAATGTACAACGTGTTAATTATTGAAAATGTCCTATTAATCAGCTTTGAAACTGTCTCATTGATATTTGTTTCTCAAAAAACAAAATAAAAAACAATAAAAAAGTAACAAAAAATAAAAAATATATATTTTAAAAAATAGCTAAGAAACATTCTCCCCCACTGTCTAGCAGGGGGCTGGATCACTTTCTACCCTAGAATATCTTTTCCAGGCATGACACTTACTAAGACTTCCTTTCCTACCGATCCTGCTCATCACACTGAAATACAAGATGCTCACCTGATTCCTTCCTTCTGCCAGCATGCTGGGATGTATGGAAGGTCTGTGAGTCATCAGTGTGGAAGAGGGAGGCAGCTGGGCCCTCGGAAATAGCTCCGTGCTTCTGTGCTCTCATCTCCCTTCAGAGACACAGTTATCATTTCACCTAAATGACATTGGCAGGGCAGACTCGGGAGCACAGTTATCTGAAACATTTTCCCCAGTTACTTATTAGCAATACCAATTACAAGTTTCTTGTGAGTCTCTGTAAGAAGGCTATTCTTGTGTTTGGGAGAGATCTCACTTATTCTTTCTCATGATCCCTAAAGGATGAAAGTGTCTCAACTCCCGAGGTTTGATCTACGAGAGACACAAAGAAGTTTCTGCGTGTCTCTCTGGATTCCAATTTTCCTTGAGTTCTTCTACATCAAATAAAGCTACTACTTAATTTCTAAATCCTGAAGTGGCACCATTTCGAAATATTGGACCAGATGACAATAAAATCAAAGTCAAAATATCTGAAAGGATTGTTCAGTAAGCTAAGAATAGTAGAACAGCATGGTGTCATAAATTTTCTCAAAAATCACTGGGCTCATCTTTACAATTGAATGCAAGTTAGTTTACAAATATGATACACAAATATTCTAGCAACACTCCATGGGCATTGACCCTACCAATGATAGAAGAATGCCTTTGAAGAATGCAATAGATAATAGAGAGATTTTTGTAACAGTCCCTCAAAAATAAGGCAATGGCAACAAACTGTGCACCTGACACATTCCATCGTTTCTATGAACTATCACATAGACCACTGTACCTCTTCCATCCAACTGCACAGAATGTTCCACAGACTTACTTACTGTACTCTTATGCTGAAAAAGTAAGCAGCGTACATTGATCATATAGTTATTGATGATGGTTCCAATGCCATTGCTAGTGATAGCGTTCGCGTGGTGTTGAGCTTAGGTGTCTATACAGTGCAAAGGTAGCCAACTCCATGTAAAAATCTACGGTGAGCTTCTGGGGACCTTTTTTCTGTGTCAGTAATGGTATCTCAAAATAACCTTAATTTTTTTTTTGGTCTCATTTGTAATACTTATTCATTTCATGCATGGGCTCAACTGCCTGGAATGAGTTGGATAAATAAAATAGTAGAGGATTTCTTTGTTTTGTTGCGTACCCACTAAATTCACCTGCTTTATTGTTTGCATTTAACATTTCTCCTTGGAGATAGGATCGTAAAACTATGAATTCATCTAGGATTTGAGGGTTAAGGACATAAAATGTTGGCAGTATTCTATCAAAACAAAAACAACCACTGACTCGTCTATTCCTTTGTGTGTGTGTGTGTGTGTGTGTGTGTGTGTGTGTGTGTGTGTGTTTTACATCATTTCTCATTTGATTTCTACAAATTTATATATTTTATGGCTCCTCAAAAATAAGTTTTGGGTATTATTGAAATCTTTTTTTTTTTATCGCTTCTTGTGAATTTACATTTTAAAAACATATACAGTTTAGTCATCAGAAAAGCACACATATGTAAGCTCTCATGTTACATTAAAAATAATCGACTGTTGTCAGCATTCAAATAGAATGCTCTGTTTTTTCCATTCTCTCACCAAAGATAATTGCTGTTCTTTCTATACCAAGTACTGCTAGGCTTTTCCTTATAGCTTATAACTATACATTTTCCTATCTCCATTATTTGAATATGTGGCGGTTTTTCCTGTCAGTTGCATCTCTTGGTATAGCCTGAATTTTTGTACATAATGCTGCTGTGAACATTTTTATAACTGTCTTCGGGCTCCAATATGCCATTATGGTGGAGAAGGTGAGAGATGCCTGCTTACCGTCTGTACCTCAAGGGTCTAAAGCGATGATGCCAGACCGCTCCACAGTGGTTGTACCACCACACTTCCTCTAGCAGGAAAGCATTTGCTGTATGTGCGCTGCCTAAAGTAATTTTCTTTATTCTAATAACATTGAGCGATCCTTCTATGTTACTTCCTTGATGCTGTATTGTTTTACCTGTCCTGTTAAGATTGACACTTGAGCCCCAAATGGTGTCTGGGTGTGTTATAGGCCGGGTTTCCACTTTCTCCCCCAGCTCAACACTATCTGAACAGTCCTGTGCCTGAGGCATGGTGCTGTGCTGGGGCTCGTTTCTGATGTTCCTTCATACTGATTTGCAGAGTAAAAGGCATGCAAGTACAACTTCCAGGACCTCTAGCTTGTTTACCCAGGCATACATAATTTGTTGGGGGACTGTATAAGACTAGCTAATGATATTGGGAACATTGTACTCCAATGAGTGCTTAGAAGCAGTGACAGTAGCTGGCCCCGAGGAAATACACCATTCAAACTAAGTTTTCTTGCCAACTCACAGGTCCTCACTTCTCAGGAGCAAAAGCATCATATGAAAGAAGAGGAATTTGCAGGCTTTGGGTGTCAGCGTTAGAGAAGACACCAAGACAGCATCAAAGTGGCCAGAAACTTTCTGAAAAAAGAAGAAAATGATCCAGGCCCCGGTAACTAACTTATAGGTTTTTTTATTTTATTTTATCTGAAACATTTAAATTTCAAAAAAGCCGGATATGGAAAGAATGAATTAAATCTTTGTGTTTTGTTTTGTTTTGCTTTTTGAACCTGAAATCTTTCTGTGTTGCTCAGGCTGTCCTTGAACTCTTGTGCCCAAGTGATCCTCCTTCCCCAGCCAGCCTCCAGAGTATGGGGTCCTGTGGGTGTTTGCTTCCAGACTTGCCTAACTGTCAGTCTAGAAACTGAACATCAGGTATTATAGGATAAGGAACACATTGTCCATAGGATTTACAGTAAATTTCGAGTATTAGAACGTGCATGAACTGTCTGCTTGCATCTCATCTCTCTGATGACCAATCCCAGCCAAAAAGTGTTGTAATGTATGTGATATGCACTGATTCTGAGAGAGCGCTGTAGATCATTTCCTACAGGCAATGCCAGTATTTCATGGCGCTTTAGTCTTGGGCAGTTTCTTGCGTTGTTCTTTGTAGAGGTGATGTAGATGGTGTCCTGAAGAGCAGCCTTGTTGTAAACACAGAAGAAGGTTTCCTGTGACTGTTGCTTTGTGGATTCCCTCTAGACCTTTGTGGACCAGACCAGATGAATACGATGGGACCAAAGCACATAGACTGCGGCCTGTGACAATCTGGATTTAGCTGGAACATACCTAAACATCCTAGGAAAATGTAAGGATGGCAAGCTGTGCACATGCTTACTGGTGAGCAGAGAGCTAAACTGGCATGTGAATACACTTAGATATGGGGTGTTAAAGGTACTGTTGTCTGTTAAGGGCTTGGGATTGTTGGGATTTGTAGGATTTGCCTTAGACCTTCACCTTATGATAGAAAACTCAGAGTCCTGTGCTGTTGGGTAGTGAAGAGTGGACCTTGTGCAAAGAAGAACATAGCCTTTGCCTCAGAGTCCTGGAGGGAGTACTCTAGACGATCCATATCCTGTCTAATAGGAAAGTGTTTGTTAGCCTACAAGCTTCAGTCATTGAGCAATCCAAAACACTATCTATGGAGTGGAATGGGACCATAGCTCATGGTTCTGGTCTCTAGAAATGCAGGTAGAAATTTTTAACCTGCCTTCCAGGGACTGGGCCTAAGGCAGCATGCAGGCCACCTGTGATTGGACCCCAATAAAATAATATACATGGCAAAAATTAATTTTGTATTCATGCGTTTTCTTTCTAATCCTCTTTTGTAAATGGTTAGTAATATTTGCTTTTCATCTCTATCCACGTTTTAATATATATTTACATCTGTATATAGAAATAATTTGTTTTGTTTTGTTTTATGTTTTAGGGAATGGTCTACAGGGTGTTCAGGGTCTCACTACTAGATCAGAGTTGTAGTGATCCACCTATTTACAGCCTTCCAAAAGCTGGGATTACAGGAGTATGCCACCATGCCCAGTCTCAGTTGACTTCTCAGCATGCCCCTGCAGTGGGGCTGGCACGGTAGGCCCGGGGGGATCGAACTCCCAGCCCCTGCATTTGTTTGCTGTTGCTTTAATTCACTGAGATATTTGGCTGGCCTGAGATAGATTTTTTAAAAACTTTTTATTTATTTATTTGGTACAGGGTCTCGCTACACAGCTGAGACTCATAGTGATCCTCCTGTCTCAGCCTCTAAGTGCTGGGATTACAGGCATGTGCCACCATGCCCAGTTTCTGTGGCCAGCTTGGCATGGGACTGGTGTGGCAAACCATACCAGAGATCAAACATGGGTTCTTGCACCGGTCAGGCACGCTTCTAAACTGTCAAGCTATCTCCCCAGACCCCAAGCTATCTCCCAGCCCTGGTAAATAGATATTTTAAAGCATTATGTATATCTCTGTAAATACAAAACAAATTTAGTAAATTTTTTGCATGAATGAAGTCACATTGCATAGGACAAAACCTACCCAAAGGGACTTTGCTGTATTGACCCAACATGGTATATCTTAGCATCCAGAGACCAATGACAGCAGTTGATTAGGAAACATTAACTGTGTAAAATTTTCTCAGTTCATCTCATTAGTTAAAAAAGTAAAATACGTTTTTCACCGCTAGAGATTGGGAGAGAACTGAGGGTTCTATCTGAAAAAAAAATGATAAAGGAACATACTCCTAGGTTCTTTTTTCCCTGGAGAAATGATAGTGACTTTTAAGAACAGAGTCTCCGTTTGCAATCTTGAGCTCACAGGAATGTTGTATAAGTGGCCTCATGCATTGTGTGACTCTTTCTGGGGATGAAAACGAGGGCCTCACCAATGCTAGGCACGTGCTTCACCACTGAGTTATATATCCGAGGCTCTTTTTATTTTTAATGGACATTTCAAGTTGCTGTTCAGAGTAACTAACCATCCCATTTTATGGGTAATATAATGTTTAAAAGCATTACCTCTAGACCACTGAAGAGTATAGTGTCACTATCGTTTTGTTTTTCTTTTTGTGACAGGATCTCACTATGCAGTTCAGACTGGTGTTGAGCTCCTTTTGTAGCCCAGGCTGGTCTGGAGCTCACAGTGATCCTCTTGTCTCAGCCTCCTGAGTGCTGGGATTATAAGTATGCACCAACAGACGCAGCTGAATCCCATTGTGCTGTAAGAAATAAATATTTTAATCTTTGATTAGAGCTTCTGACCAGAGTTCCTAAACCTGTAGTAATTTCCTTTGTGGTAAGAACAACAGAACTATGTGTAGTGACAGTGTTGTGTTTTTATCCCTTGGCCTGAAGCATGAGGATGAAAGGGGTGTCTTTGCTATTTATAACCAGAATTTAGGTTTATGAAGTAACTTTCGGAAATCTCTGAAGGCAGAGAAGCTGGTTGTCTGTGACTAGATTACACCCCACAGCAGGATAAAGGAGCCAGAGGCTGAGGTAATCAACAGAGGCCAGCGATTCAAACGATCAGCCTATGGAATGATGCCTCCATGCAAGCGCTAAATGGGCATCTGGGTTAGGGATGGTGGAAACACTGCGAGAATGTTGTGGGAGCCTCACCTCATTCCCTGTGTTTTACCCTACGCATCTCTTCCATTAGACTGCTCCTAATAAGGGGAGCTGGCATTAGGAAATAAAGCATTCCTGAGGTCAGTTGGTTGTTCTGATGAATTGTCAAACTTGAGGAAGGGGTCATGGGACCTTCTGAGATAGAGCTAGTAAGCCAGAAATACAGAAGGCTCAGGCTTTCAGCATGCACACGCCCATGCAAGTGCGCACATGCATGCACACACACACACACACACACACACACACTATTTCAGTCAGTAGTGAACCACATATACCACAGTGGTCCCATAAATGTACTGCCTAGTGATGCTGTAGCTGTTTTAGGTTATGTAAGTATACTCTATGATGTCTGCCCAAAGGTGAGTTTTTTTAGGAACTCATGTCTTAGAATGTATTTCCGTTATTATGTGACCCATGACTTTATGTGTGTGTAACTACTACAGTGTATTTAAAAAAAAACAGCAACTAGGTTTATAGATGCAGCCTAGAGTGAAAAGAACAGGAAAAATCATTACGTTTCTTTTATATCCTCACAAGTAAATCAGCTCATTAGCAAGATTATTGTTTCAGGGGTTGCTGACACTGGAGGACGTGGCTGTGAGGGTCACCCAGGAGGAGTGGCAGCTACTGGGCCCTGCTCAGAGGAGCATGTACCAGAACGTGATGCTGGAGAACTACTGCAGCCTGGTGTCAGTGGGTGAGGACAGCTGCCCCGTGTCACTGGCAGGGTGCCCCTCAGTGGCCTTTCCTTCCTCAGCTTCTGGACCTGGAGGGCCTATCATATCTTACGTGATAGATTCATGGTTCTTCTCTGGCCTCCAAAAATTGAGTATACTGTGCTCCCTTCTGAGAGAAAATCTTTTTACTTTGTACGTGTAAACTACGTAGTTCCTAAAGTCAGGCATTCTCCCACATTGACCGATCATAACCAGTTTGATGAGCCTAACAAAGACTTCTGTCATTGCCCATGAACAGGGTATCAAGCCAGCAAGCTAGATGCCCTCTCCAAGTTACTGCATGGAGAACCATGGAGGGCAGAAGATGAACTCCATTGCCAAGCCCTTTCAGGTGAATGGGAGAACAAACTGGGAGAGGTGGGGACGAGAAAGCCTGGTGGCTGTGAAGCAGATTGGGGATATGAAAATAGTATTGTAGTGATTTGTTGGTCTCTCGTTGGTTCCTAGGAGAAAATGGCAGAGGGATTCAGAAAATAAAGACAAGAGATAAAAGTTGAGATCAGGTCCTTTGCCCCCCTTATCTGAAAGGCAAAGGACCCAAAGAAAAAAAAAAGGTGGGATATTTATACCTTTGAAAAGTTAGTATCATGAGAGACAAGGTTACCTAGCACCTCATGACCAAAATTGTCACACAGAATGCTTTTCTCAAGACTGAGGTAGCCTGACTGCCTTGGGCAGTGCCCTTGTCCTGCCCTCACATACATGACCAATCTCCAGCCTCAGCTGCTCCCAACACAGCATCTCCACCTTACTGTCTCTTCAGGAGACTTTTACTTTGAAGGAGCTCAGAGAAAAAATATGCGTCTTTGTCTTTTCTTGGATCTGATTTCTCTTTATTAATTTTGGGTCTTCCCTATACAACTGGTTCAAGCTCTGATACCATGCCTAACTCAGCATACCTTGGCCTCCTGAGCATCTTATCTCTTCACTCCATGGTCCTCCAGAGGCTCTGGGAGTTTTTCTTGAAACTTTAAATTTACTTGAATGATATGTACAGAGTTAACAAATTACAATTAAAATGGAATGAGTTATGTTAATTCCACATAACTTAAAATCTTTCAGTACAGCATGGTAAAAACACCAGCTTCATTCACATACAAAAATGCATCAAACTCATGATAACATCTTAAAATATTTGCTATAAGCTTTTCGCAGAGAATTTTCACATACAAATTTAATGACCTGATCAATCAGTTAATACCTTAGGAAAGAGAATAAACATTATTAGTAAAGTTGCAAGCAATTAACTTTAAAATTATACCTAAAGAGCCACCAGCCAGATAGCTCAGTAGACTCAAGCACCTGCTTAGGCAGACACAGGGACTGGGATTCAATCCCCAACATGCTGTGCTGGCTCTGCTCCCAAATGCAACTAGGCATGGTGGCACGCACCTGTAATCCCAGCACTTGGGAGGTTGAAAACAGGAGGATCACTACGAGTCTGATCTGTATAATGCAACCCTATAGACCCTGTACTAAATACATAAAAATAAATAAAATTGCACCAAGTACGATTTCATGAAATAAATGTTATGAAAATAGTTTTGAAAAATAATCTCGTATTGAAACCCTGTGCTGATTTCATTGAATCAGGTTATATAAATCAATAGTCAAATTTATTCTGTTAAAGAAATGCCTGTCCGGGGCTGGTGAGATGGCTCAGTGGTCTAACGCACCTACTTAGAAAAAGCTTAGCAAAGCACAGGGACCGCGGTTCAATCCCCCAGCACCACATGCCAGCCAGCCCTGCCCCCCGGTAGGCTGAGCTGCCCCCCCACACATACATTAAAAATTTTTTAAAAAAATGTTAAAAAAAAAGAAATGCCTGTCCTTTGTTATGCTCATAAAGAGTACACATAGTCTTTTTATACAAGTACAGAGGCTCTGCTTTGCATTTTCTTATCTGTTTTTACCTTTCAACCTTTCCTTCAGCCTAACCAGTTAAGCTTCTGTGTCGCACAGCAGTATCCCATTGCTCTCGTGGCCTCTAGTACAGACTCGCTGTGATTTACACATCTTGATGCCAAGTCTGTCTTAATATGGAACATGTTAGAAGTGTTCCTGATGCATGTTGTGACTACGTCCTTGACTTATTCTTTCAAAAACTATTTCTTGGTACTTTAGTGTATGCTGGAAGATAACAGCAGTGAACAAAAACAACGAGGAACTTTTGTTCTAAGTACAGGACACATAAAATAAGGTACTATTGTGGAGTTCGTAATATCTCTAAGTTATGTATCATGGAGTTTGTAATATCCGTAAGTGGCTCGGGAGCTTCCAGGTTAGCTCAGTTGTGTGAAGTGCCTGCTTGGGCAAACTCAGTCAGCTGCAGGGGAGCACGGTTCAATTCTCAGCTCCACATGCCTCACCAGACTCATCCTTAAGGCAGCCTGAGCCAACTGGAAAAATAAAAAGAATCCTTATCATTAAGTGGCTAAAATTATCATTTCTCCAAGGAAACACCTGTAAATTTAGAGTTTCCTGTATTCTGGATGTCCTAAATTCTGGACATCTGGGTATAGTAAGTCTCCAACTTACAAACTTTTAAGTAGTGAACTTTCCTAAGTGTACTCTGTGAGACTCAGTTGGTCAGTTTACCATTGAATCTGACTTACAAGACATTCTCCTGGAATGGAACTCACTTGTAAGTTGGGGACTTACTGTGTTATTCAGATGTTCTCTATCTACATATCTCTTTCACTGAGTTGCTGATGTTGAATTTTTAGCTGGGACACATTTTGAACACCCTTAATTTCAGTTGCAGCCTAAACCAAGTCCAAACTCATGCCTATCTCAAGGTGCCTGGTTTGTGTATTTGCTAATTCTGAGCTTCTTCTGGTGCACTTAGATGTCTCTATTGTGTTTGCTTTGTGTCTTACCCTGACTGCTCTGATTTTGTTAGTAATGTTGACTTCTGTTAACCCATCCTAGGGGATGGAAATTCTTTCAGGTTCCTTTAATAGTACGTCATCTTGTTTATGCAGGTTTCCACCTATCCTAGATTCTTCCCACTTTTTCCCAAATGCGAGATTACTATTTTTGTTCCTTTAAATTATTTTTTGGTAGCCTAGTATATGTTGAAGGTTAACAGCAGTGAGATAGAACAAACAGTAGACCACAAGCTTTCAAAGCTTTTGTTCAAGGAGGAGGAGACATAGGTAGCATTTTATAGCAGAATGTACCAGGGACAAGGCTGCTGTTTCAGGTAAGGGTTCAACCTTTGATAAGGTTCAACACTTTTGAGCTACCAGACACAGAAGTTAGTTGGCTGATAACTTGAGGGGAAAGGTGTGTGCTGGTCAGATTCTAGTCTGTTTATAGAGCACAGATGGAAGTGACCATTGAGGCAGATATAAGGTGACAAAAAAAGCAGGCTGAAACTAATGCAGACTGGTTTGAGCAAGAATACCAGATGACCTGTGGAGAAGGAGATTTGGGTTAGGAAGTTTTGAAGAACTGTAAATTAGGTGTGCTTGTTTTTGTGTTTTTTGGGGGTTTTTGGTTGCTGTTTGTTTTTGTGTTTTAGGGAAGGGTCTACAGGGTCTCACTACTAGAGCAGACTCGTAGTGATCCACTTGTTCATATCCTCCCAAGAGTGGTGATTGTAGGCATGCACCACCATGCCCAGTCTCAATTGCCATCTCGGCGCGCCCCGGGAGCGGGGCTGGCACATCAGGGGGATTGAGCATCTGGCCCCTGCACCTGCTTTCAGGTGCTTTAATCTGCAGAGCTATTTGGCTGGCCCAGGTGTGCTTGTTAGCATCCAAGTAGAACTTTATCCTGTGTTCTCATGTGTCTGAGTTCTTAAGTCCAGTCTGAAGACAGAAATTTGGACTGATGAGAGTCGTGTGGAATGAAGGAAAGAGATAAGGAGTAGAAAATCCTTGAACACTTAGAAGTTAGTTAGATGAACAGTTAGTAAAGTAGACTGAGAGGACGGAGCACATGGTTAAACCAGAGGGTCTTCAGGTATCCTGCTAGCAGTGGAAGTGTGGGTAGATTGGGCTATCATGATAGTATGAACTTTACTGCAAGGCTGACTATTGTGAACTGTGTGTTTCTAATTGAGGGTAGATTGCAGATAATGTAGGTTTTGTGTTTTATATTTTTCTATCTTTTCTTATAAGGCTAAGAATTTTTCTTGTTCTGGGTGACAGCTATGTAGTGGTAAGTGACATTCCGCTGTTGGAAATAAAGATGACAAAGCTGACTTGACATTGATCTGGAAAGCAAAGGTGACACTTAGGCCCCCAAACTGAAGCTAACTGATGTATGTGTAGAATCATGGAAGAATATGGTGTGAGTGGCAGCTTGAGTGATGAGAAAAGAGAAACAGAAATGGAAAGAATTTGTGTGTGTCGAGGAACAGCATGAAGAAACTAGAGACAATTCTTACAACCAGGGTGGTAGTCTCTGTTTATGGAGCTTCCTCTACCACCCAGTTCTAATATTCCATGAGGTCATAGCTTCTCTTTTTATAGGAATAGAAAAGGATGGTACATCTAGACCAACAATCAGTATAACAACAATAGGAAGTTTCTAATAAATGTGAGATTGGCACTTTGAGAAAACTGATTTGATGCTTGTCTACAGGATGATGGAGAAAGGTGAATTTTAGGCCTGGTTTCATCTAAAAATCTGTCGCAATAAGCCTAAAACCTGGAGTGTTGAGCAGTTTGACTCACCTCTGGGATGGTTTTCCAGTCACCAGCATCTGTTAGCTATCTGTCTGTCAGGATGGCTACTGTGTGGTTTTCCTCAGTGGACTCTTCCCATTTTCTAAACCTTAAACAATGAAATGACTAAAACCTTGGTTATACTCCTTCATGTCATCATTATGTTCTCTGAATGTGATCTTCTCTTCTGCTTATTTACTAAGATTTTTTAAATTGGTATCACCAATCAAGACTTTGCTCAAGGTTCATATGTGTTGTAGACTTCATCACATCTGTACTTGGGCATGTAATAAGCACCTTTAATTGATGTGCTGGTATTTTCTCCTACCTCTGTACTTTAAGTGTTTTTCCTTCTTTCTTTTTTAATAGTACTGCTACCTGGTGACTCAAACCAGATTCTTAGAACATTTCCTGATTCCTCATTTTCTTCACTCTGTCTGCCAGCTGTAACAGTGACTCCCTCCCTGAACTCTGTTTGTACCTTATGTCCTGTACTGCTCTCTCCACTGCTCCTTTAAAGCACCTTTTAGAATCTGCAGCTGTTTCCTTGTGTCTGTTGTTTTAAGTGGTTTTCCCAAGCTACATGGAGGTTCCATGAACATGAGGAACATACTTTTGCATTCACAACACTAGCACCAGGGCTGATTTAGTCAACCATTAAGGATTGGCTGAATCCTCTTGGTGAGGAGGCTCCGACCTCTGTTCCTGTGCTCACACTGAATTATTTTTACGTTTTTGAAAGCATCCTAATCTGTATGTATTCATTATTAGTTATCTAACCTTGTTTCTATCAATAATTTATAGTTTGTTTATGTAATTGTTTTCTACCTATATGCAAGAAACATTGAATATAGAGTTGTATTTATACTCCCCTCATTGAGTTATCACTAAAGAGATACCTCCCATCAAGGCAGTTTATAAAAATCCCTTAATTACAAATACAAATCAAGATGATTGAAAACTATTATTCTTTTCTTTCATAGATATCAGGAAAGCTAATGATGATCTGCCAAAACTTCTTCAAAATGAAAGCAATTTACAAAATGAAAACCTTATACATACACTGAAGAAGCTGGAAAAGTGGAATGAACATAATGCATTTGAAAATGTTGTCCAACAGAGCAAAACTCAGTTTCTGTTGAGGCAAAATCATGACACAGTTAACTTACATGGAAAATGTATGAAGTCACATTTAACTTCAGTTAACCACAGCAAAAGCTATGAAATGAAAAATCCTGCAGAGTTCCCAAGAAATGAGGAATCCTTTTTCCCTAACTTTGAAAAAATTCACACTGAAATTCTATTTCCTGCAAGTCAAAAACTCATCAGCATTAAATCTCATTTCAGTAGCCCCAAGCATAAGAAAACTCAAAAAGTAGAGAAACAACATGTATGCAGTGAATGTGGGAAAGCATTTATCAAGAAGTCTTGGCTCACTGATCACCAGATCATCCATACTGGAGAGAAACCACATAGGTGTAGTCTGTGTGGGAAAGCCTTCTCCAGAAAGTTCATGTTCACTGAACATCACAGAACTCATACAGGAGAAAAACCTTATACATGCACTGAATGTGGCAAAGCCTTTCTCAAGAAATCACGGCTCAACATACATCAGAAAATTCATACAGGAGAGAAACAATATTTATGCAATCAGTGTGGAAAGCGCTTCATCCAAAAAGGAAATCTCATTGCACATCAGCGAATTCATACAAGTGAGAAGCCTTATATTTGCAGTGAATGTGGGAAAGGCTTTATCCAGAAGACCTGTCTCATAGCACATCAGAGATTTCATACCGGGAAGACTCCCTTCGTGTGCAGTGAATGTGGAAAATCCTGCTCACAGAAATCTAGTCTCATTAAACATCAAAGGATTCACACGGGAGAGAAACCCTTTGAATGCAGTGACTGTCGGAAAGTCTTCACCACAAAGCAAAAGCTCATTATTCATCAAATAACTCATACAGGAGAAAAAACCTATGGCTGCAATGATTGTGGGAAAGCTTTTGCATATGTGTCTTGCCTGGCAAAGCATAAGAAAATACATACAAGTGAAAAACAGAGAGATTCTATAGAAAAACCTGCTGAGAGTGATAGCTCATTATGTACTGGTGGCGTCATACAGGAGATAAACTCTGTTGGCACAGTGATTACTCAAGTGCCCATAGGGACCTCTCAGACATCATCAAACATTTGTGGGCTTCTAGAAAATAGGAATGTCGTCCTTGTGGGACAGCCAGTGGCCAGATGTGTGCCAGCAGGAGACAACAGAGAATTTGCACAGGGGAAAAACCTAATGAGTTCAGTGAATGTGGTTGTGCCTTCACTCATCAATTATGTCTTATTTTATGTCACAGAAAACCCATCATTAAATGCTTAGATACATCCTGTGTGGAAAAACATTCAACAGAAATTTCTAGTTTTTTATATGGCTAGAAATTATATACTGGGAGAAAATATATACATCCAGAGACTGGAAAAGCCAAATAAATGCATGCTGTCTAAATGCTGCAGTGTTATATAGCCTAATGTTCACCAACCAAACACACAATAATTGCTATTGTGTTAATTAAATGAGTAAATGAAGCCCAAATAGGTACTCCAAGGTTTAAACTGGTATGTGGATACTGCCGTGAATGAAAACAAATGAAAGATGGTTGGCAAAGGTTAACACTGTCTTGGTATCATGTGGAGGACAGCTTTGTCAATTTCGTTTTTCTAGTCCAGTGTGAAGAATTAACAAAAGCAGAATGCTTACTAAACTTGTAGAACTTCATATAAAAAGACCAATGAACAGCCTTACATTGGATCAGTCTGTTCATCTAACAGTATTTGACAAGTGCTTCCTTTGTATCTACTCCTGTTATAGCAGTGACTGAAGCTAGCTGACATATGTGTAGAATCATGGAGGAATATGGTGAGTGGCAGCTTGAGTGATGCCTGTGGTCCCTGAGAGAACATTGAGTTAGCCTACTCATGTATAAGTGATATTGTTTCACTCCACCCAGCCTCACTAGAGGATGTAAGCATCTGCATTAGGTCAAATGAATGTGAGTTAACTAGTTCATAGGAATTTATGATAGTTTATTGTTCACAGAGCATATTTTGAGGGATGAGGAAGGTTTGCCTACTATTATATTTAAGCATGTTAGAGCAAACATAGTTATATTTTTTGAGGCTCATGCCTTATCTTTCCAAAAGATTATGAGTTCCATGATAATTTTGTGGTGTGGCTACTGCAAGTTTTAAAAAAAATTGACTACAAAATTAGAAATTCAATTCCTAAGTTCACTATCCACATTTCAAGTACACAGTAGCCATGTGTGAGTGAAGAGTGGTTACCAAATTAGACAGTACACAATGAGTAAAACTAAAGTAATAGGCTATCTGTCATTTCTAACCTACAAGGTTTGAATAATGCTGGTTTATGTGATTTTATATTTCTGAACACATAAGTCAAAAACAGTTGACTTGGAAAGTAAATGAGTGAACTAAGGGGATAATCAAAGTGGGTTTTTTTAATCATTGAGCAAACAATTCCAAAGAGAGGAACTGTCACCCAAAACTTTTGTGTGTGATTACACTCAATATAAAAGAGGTACAACAGAAAAAAGACAAAGGCCCATAAAGTAGGAATACAAGGGAGGATGAGAACCTTAGTCTTAAGAAGGGAGAAGTATATAACATGGGAAAAGCACATTCTTTGGGAGCTGCCATGATGAGCTACAGATGCTGACCAGCTGCCATGAAGCGAAACATCAGACCGTAAAATGAGGGAAAAGTCTGGAACCTAAGTTGCTGGCTGACGCCCTTCTATTACAAGAAAAAATGTGAATATTCTTTTTTAACCGATCCCCTCAGTTTGTCTATGCTGCATTTGTAACTCCACAAATTCCCAGAGTTAAGAACCTCTTTTTAAAGCAAAGAATATGCTCCTCCATTCTTTGGCCACAGAATAACACTTCTCTATTTTTACTTTGGTCTCCAGTCATTGGTCTTGTCAGACAGCAGAACAGAACTTTGCCCAGTTGCACTATAGGGCTACAGTGTCTTCTCTTCTGGCTCTTTAGGCCATCCATTTTTTCTTTTTTTCATTTTATGTATTTAGTACAGGGTCTCACTACACAGCTCAGACTCATAGTGATCTTCCTGTTTTCAGCCTCCACAGCCCTGGGATTACAGGTGTGCACCACCACACCCTGACTCGGTGGCCAGCTCAACATGCCCTGGGGGCAGGGCTGGTGCCACATGTGGGACCAGGGATTGAACCCTTATCCCTGCACTTGCCAAAGCAGGCACTTAGTCTGCTGAGCTATTTCTCTGGCCCCTCATCCATTTTTAGTATCTTCCTCATCTCCTTACATTTTCCTTTATTCATTCCTTTTTCCCTCACTTTGTTGTCCCCTTCCAGGCTCTATCTCCCTTACCTCTATTCTGTATCTGCTGAGGTCTGTTGTCATCCCACACTAGCCTACTTCATCTGTATCCCTTTTCCCATGTCGTGCTTTTCAATCTCATACCTACTACAGGCCTTTTTACCCACTTCTGCCCATTACCATACATTGCCATTATTCCCTTTGCTCCTGTGGCACCTTGTAATCCTTATCCATCAGAACGCAGATCCAATTCTGAAAAACATACAAAGGAGAAAAGCTATGAAAACTGAGATTTCCCGTAAACTGTCTGGTTGAAGTGTGATGATTCCCTGGGGATGAGCACGCCTCTGGGTGAGCTAGAGCTCATGCTGGGCACCTCCAGAGGCTGCTATGGTGCTGAGTTCACTGATAGTGAAGTTGCGGTGGTTGCTTTCAAGGCTGCCAGAGTGCTGAAGTGTTACAAGTGGGAACAGAGCAGGATACAGTGCCCCAAAGCTCTCCTGCGGCAGTAGGTGAGGACTTAATTGGCTGATTTAATAGGGAAGCTTACTGACACAAATAAATGAAAACCCAAGTTGTAAAGTAGTCTATATACCCACTAATCACAATTTCATTATCTGAGTTACCTGTGATCAACAGTAGGATTGATGGAAAATTCCAAAGACTCATAGCACTTTTATCACTTTTATTATGGCATATGAATACTGTTGTATTTTATTATTAACTGTTTGTTAATATTTTTCTGCTTAATTTTTATAAATGAAACAATTTTTACAAAAACATTGTACCCAGGGTTTGATACTGTACATGCTTTCAGATGTCAACTGCAGTTCTTAGAATGTGGTCGCTGGGTGATTAAGGACTAGTGTATCACACACACACACAGACACACACACACACACACACTGCTCAGTGTGGCAGATTCCAACTCTGTAGGATGAGCTCCATTATTCTACTCCCTTTGGGCTTTTCTTTATTTCATTTCCATTTGCTCATCATATGAAAGATATTCTGTGGGAAACCTATGTATTACACATAGTATAACTAGTGGCTTTGCCTAAAATAAGCAAAGATGTAACAATCTATCTCAAATATTTTCAAAAGAATCCACAAACACAGAAAAACTTCTGTGACCCTTGTGTGGCCCTTTATACGACATGAAAGAGGTAGACAGGGACAGAGATAACAGAGCAGCGTAGGGCACACAGATTCATGCCCTCTCACTTAGAGAAGCTTTGCTTTCTTTGCAAAGCCTCTCTAAGATGCTGGGCCCATGAAGCTCCTATCTGTCCTTCTCTTCCTCTGCAGAGTTGCACCTGATGGTCCTACTGACATTTCCCATGGCCCCTCCTGCTCAGCAACACACCCACTTCCTCACTGTCGTGAAGACCCATTTATTCTCCCAAGAATGCAACTTTGTGTAAATATCTAAATTTATTCTGATTAGGACAGTCATAAATTCGTCTTCTAAGAGCCTGTCAAGGACCTATCTGTTTTCTTTTGAATTGTACTTTAGGTTATTTTCAGGATCAGTGAAAGACTGAGTTGGTTCAGGCGCTCTACTGTAGATCCTAGCAAAACATAAGGTTGCTAGATTAGAAAGAAGGGACTTTTCAAATCAGGGCAGAGCAGACAGGATGAACACTGTGACTGTACCAGATTCCCTTTCCCATAACAATTCCAGTCCAAGTTGTGTGTTGTGGCCAAAGCGGATGCTGTATGCATTGAGACCATCCCACCTGAGGGTCCCTGAGCACAGCAAAATCAATCTTTTAAAAAGAATTGCTAACAAAGTTGTCATATCCTTCATCCAAGAGGGAGAAATCTATATTCCCTGAATCTATATTTATTAACCAATTCTGTCCACTATTGCAGAAGGTGACACTATTCCTGTCTTCCAAAGATGCTTTTTTCTTGGCTCAGATACACAACAAAAGATGGTCAAAAATACTCTTTCTAGACAATATAAATCTGCTTGAGAAACCCAAGGAGAACTGTCTTTGGATAATATACACCATTTATTTCTTCATATATTTGCTTCTGGTATACTTCCCCTGAGTACCCCACTTTGGCAGCCACTCATTAAAACAGACTTTTAAGGCTTGGGATCCAATTTATTGAATTGTCTCAATCAAAATTAATTAAGACAACTACCACCCAGATGCTCTATATCTAAGGAAATATTTTGTTATTGACCTCCGCTGTGCCTGTTTAGGACCCACTTTCAACTGGTTAAAGAAATACCAGTATCCATTAAGTCTTTGACTTACAAGGACAAGTGGCTCTTCCATAATTCCCAGTGTGATTTCATGGAGATGAGTGATTAAACAATTCCACATTTTGGAAAATACAAAGTTTATATATCCATGATATCACTATAGGATTTTTTACTCCTTACCCAGCCAAGCATAACCTTGATACAGGGGAGTCCTGGCTCATAAGAATAAAGGCATCTGGGCCACCAAGATAGCTTAGCAGACTAAGCACCTGCTTAGGCAAGTGCAGGGACCAAGGTTCAATCCTGGCGCCAGCCCCACCCCCAGGGCACACTGAGCCCCCCCACCGAGTCTGGGAGTGGTGGACCATTCCTCTAATCCCACTCTGGGGAGGCTGAAAACACAAGGATAACTAAGAGTGTGAGTTGTGTAGTGAGACCCTGTACCAAATACATAAATTAAAAAAAAAAAAAGAATAAAGGGGCTGGCAGTGGGAAAACACAGAAAGGAAGGCAGTGATATTCACCAACCAGCAACTGGAATTATATAAAAAAGCAACACAAATATTAATATGGAGGAGGGTGTAAAAAATCACAAAGGTACACACCAGAACACAGATGCTTTGAGAGGCTTTGGACTCAGAGGAAATTCTGGAATGATCTGTGCTGTGAATATGTTGAACCCACTGCTTATGTGTATGACAAATGAAAATCACGGAGCTGCTTCCCCAGTGTATGAGAACAGAAAATATTCAGGGAATGTACACAATACTGTGTAGAATGAATCTACTATTTTGTCTCTACCTGAAGTAGAACACTATCCAAAATCTCTTTTCTTTGTTATATTTTGGCTATTCCACTTGCCCAGCACATATACAAGAAAAATGAAATTTACAACCATGTATAGGATCCAGCAGGAGGCAACATAGAAGCCAATGAACCTTGGAGCTCTTACCTTGAGGTCCATCCAACAAGAGTCCATGGGACGGATTAGGATAGGCTGGAAGACACTCAAGAGGCAGACAGTACCAATTGACACACTTCTGCTTAGCCTCTCAACATACCAAATTTTGTAGCCCAAGTCACAGGAAATGTTTGAGGCCAAAAGCTGTCATTGTCTGAGGAAGTGGCCAAGAAAGAGCGATCATGGAGTTGGCTATAATCAGGTGCCTGAGAATCAGATCAGTGGACTTCAGTTGCATCTGTTGTTGTCAAGAATTAGGCAGTAGTACAGAACAGAGAAATTTCCCAGCGCTCTAACTGTGGTCTGCGAGAACGTTAGTGCTATTGCCAAATCTCTGGAGGATATTCTGTTGTTCACCACCTTTTCCTTTAAATTATGGGAAAGAGATTTCTTTCTTCAAGAGGGGTCACTGCAGAGTTTTGCGACTATGTGCAGTGGCACGCACCTATATTTCCACTGCCCACAGGTGGAGGCCAAAGTGAATACCCTGAACCCAGGAATTTGAGCTCAGCCTGTGTAATATCAGGAGATCCTATGTCAAAAAAGCTTAGCGGGGCCAGGGAGATGGCTCAGTAGAATAAGCGCTTCCCTGGCAAGTGCAAGGGTCTGAGGTCAGTCCCTGGTTCCACCAAAAAAAAAAAAAAGTTTAGCTGCAAGGAAAACATCATTTTATGCTTCCTGGGTTGCCTTGGGAGTCAAATCCACAAATTAATGAAGATAACTGCCTGTATGCTTCAAAAACATCAGCAATAGGCGGAAGTGATGTTGATTTGAAAGAAACAACAAAAAGTGAGAGCAAAGAGTCAGAAAACAGAACTCAGCTTTTCCAGGATGGACATATCTGCTACTCACATTAGAGGAAAGAGATAAGTATCAATATGGACATCACACAACAAATTAATTCTTAGTAGATTTCCTTTTTGTAGCAATACAGAATAATTGAAAAAGTATAAGATAGAGGATACAAAATTTCATTAAACAAAGTAATGGGAATTGGACAATGGTTGTTGTACTGCATGATGTTGTCTTCAAATTAGTTTTTTAGGTACCAGATATAAACCAGGAAAATCAGTGAAAAAAGTTATAAGAAACTAAAAGAATTAATTAATATAAAATTATAAGTATTTACTGCTCCTTTCAACAGATCAGCAGAAATCCACAGTACAATTATCCAAGCTATCCCACGTATATATAACTATATCTTTTTCCCTTCTTTCAGCCTTTTCCTCATCCCAGTTTTTCCTTCCCACTGAACGAACTATTTCCCTTTCACAGTATCTATTATACCTTTCAGATTTTATTCACTCTTTCAGGTTCTCACACTAGCCAAACAATATGGTGTCTGCACATGCAGGTCTAATTTATTTCACTTACCAGTACAATCTCTATTTGCATCCACTTACCTATAAAAACCTTGAATTTATCTTTTTTATAGTTGAGTAATACTCCATTGTGTAAAAATCTACCTTCCATATCCGTTCCTCAGTTGATGGGCATTTGGGTTGTTGCCAAGATTTAGCTATGACAAGTTGTACTGCTATAAACATGGGTGCACATAAATTGCTGTGGTCTGATGTTCAGTTCTTCTGGAAAGTTACCCAGGAGGGCAATAGCTGGCTTGAATGGGATCTCCAATCCTAGGTTTTGAGGGCTCTCCACATAGATTTCCATAGTACTTGTACCAGTTTACGCTCCCACTAACAGTGGGAAAGCAGTCCTTTTTTCCCACAGCCTCTCCCTTAATAGATTTCAGATGATATATTTACATGAACGGTGATGACATGTTAAATTTCTGTCATCTTAGGTCAGATGTTTAGTAAACAGAATAAAATATATTAACCACAATATTGAAGTAACAAATTAAAACATATTGAGAGCTACTTTTCATGAATGACCAGATGTACATACTTGGAGGAAAAAGGAGAAGAAGAGAAAGAGGAGAGAGAGGCAGGCTGGTAAGGAGGGAAGGAGGGAAGGAGGGGGGAGGGAGGGAGGGAGGAAGAGAGAGAGAGAGACTGAGACTGTGGGAAGAGCATTTACAAAACATGTACTAGAAAAAAAAATACATTCCAACAGAATCATGAAGAAAAAGACAGTGCTTTCTAACCTTGTTATGAAAGGCAGAATTTTGAGAAAGACTTGAATATGGTTGAGCTAGGAAAACAGGCAATCACTTAAACTCTGTGCTACACTGCAAGTACTTCAACTATGTTTTCACGTAATATAGACGTCCTTTTGTTTTCAAAACTCACCATTTTATTTCACAATTCTGGCATTTTGTTGTATAATTATAGCTGTAACAAGTTTACATTTTTGTGTAAGAATTTAT